GGCCAGCAGAGATCGAGACTATTCTCGATGAGTTCAAGGACGTCTTTCCGAAGGAACTGCCACCGGAACGAGCGGTTCAGTTTGACGTCTCGATGAAGCCAGATGCGAAGCCACAGCATCATGCACCATTTCGACTGGCGAAAGTGGAGCAAGAGTCGTTGGACAAGTTTTTCAACAAGCTCAAAGCCAAAGGATGGGTTGAGTTGTCAACGAGCGATTGGGTGTCGAACATCTTTGGAGTGCCAAAGAAGAATGAGAACCGTAAAATTCCATCTCGTCACGTGTGGTTGAAGACAGCAACCGCGAACACTCCAATTCGATGGGTGCTCGATTACCGGCATGTCAACTCCCAGTCTGAAATCCCCAAGATACCTCTACCCAACATTGAGAACATCTTCAACAAGATGCATGGATGCAAGATATTCTCGTAGCTTGATCTTGCATCGGGGTACCATCAAATGCTTGTGCTCCCACATGCTCGCAAGTACACAGCATTTCAAACGCACAAGGAACTCTTGCAATGGTGCGTTGCGCCGATGGGAATGGCGGGTATGCCGGGGATATGGTCGCGACTGATGCGATCATTGTTCGATAAGTTTCCATTCGTTGTTGTCTACCTGGATGACATTTGTATCTACTAGAAGACGATGGACGAACACGTCGAACATGTGCGATTGTCCTGGAAGTCTTGTGCAAGGAAAAGTTGTATGCGCGACTCGACAAGTGCGTGTTTGCAGTCGATAAAGTGAACTTCCTGGGGCACACCATCTCTGGTGATGGATTGCAAGTCGATTCGAGCAAGGTTCGAGCGATCCAAGAGTGGACAGCGCCTACTAATCGTAAGGAGCTCTTAAGTTTCCTTGGCATGGCGGGGTACTATCGCAAGTTCATTGCGAACTATGCCAAGTTGATACTACCGATCAGCGAGCTCGCGAAGGACAAGGTTCCATGGGACTGGATGGATCAACACAACAAGGCGTTTTTGGTCGTCAAGGCTGCGTTGCAACAAGCTCCTGTGTTGCAGTTACCAGACTTAGACCAGCCAATTTATGATCACAACGGACGCCTCGGGCTATTGTTGTGGAGCGGCGTAATCGCAACTGGATGCGAACAAAGAAGACCGACCGGTTGCATTTTTGCCGAAGAAGCTAAGTGACACCGAGTGCAATTGGCCATCGCATGAGAAAGAATTGTATGCGATCAAGTTGGCGCTAGCCAAGTGGAGACACTACGACTATGGGTCACACTTTGATGTCTTCACGGACAACGCGACTTGCCAGTGGTTTTTGAAGACTCCAGCTCCAGCTGGAGTCTCAAACAGCTAAGTTAACACGTTGGTTGGATTTCTTCAGCAGTTTTGACTTCACGTTGCACCATCGTCCTGGCAAAACAAACGTTGTTGCGGATGCATTGTCGCGTCCACCGCGCAATATCATGCAAGCAAGTACCTGCGCTGTGCATGAGTGTGACACTACGTGTTACGACCGTTATCGTTGTGTTAACCGATGGAGCGATCGAGTACATGACATCAAGTGCTTGAATTCGCACTTTGGAATTGATGATGAACTTGCCTTCTCGGAGGGAGGAGGTGGATTTGTCGAATGTCGAAGTCGAAGATCCGCATCAACTCGTCATCAACCACGCAGAGAAATTTTCGTATTCATCGATCAAGATGGACGACAACTTGAAGCAACGCTTTGTGCGAGCATACGCCAATACGAAAGAGTTTGAGAACAAAGACAAGTTCGAGAAGAAGGATGGACTCTTCTTCGTGAAGTCGAAGGATCAGTGCGGAAGTTGTGCGTTCCAAACAACGACTTCCTCAAGGGCGAAATTATTTCGCAGAGTCATGACACAAGCACCACGGCTCATCCCGGCGTACGGCAAACGCAATTGCACATTGTAAAATGGTATTATTGGAGCACCACGGCTCATCCCGGCGTAGGGAACGCAATTGCACATTGTAAAATGGTATTATTGGAGCGGTCTTGAAGAAGATGTGAAGCTCAATGCAGTCGTGCGATACATGGTTTGCCAGCAGTATGTCGCGGCGTGTGATACTTGTGCGCGATACAAGTCAAGCAGCGCCAAGGCGAATGGAAGAATGATCCCAAACGAATCGCCTGAGGAATGTTGGCACACAGTTTCGATGGATTGGATCACGAGTTTACCAGTCTAGAACGGAAAGGATGCGATCATGACGTTCGTTGACGAAACATCAAAGCGTCCTGCATACTGTTCAACAACGTCGAACGTCGATGATCTCCAAGCAACAAAGGAGTTCTTCGATGCAGTCCTGCGATACCATGCTTTGCCAGCAGTTGTCATCAGCGACCAAGATTCCAAGTTCCGAGTGAATTTTGGCAAGCGTTGATGAAGATCATTGGCGTCAAGCATTGCATGACGACGGCGGGTCGAGCGCAAAGTGATGGAGCCACCGAACGACAAAGTCGGACCTTCGAAGATGCTTTGAAATGTCAAGTCTCATACTTGGATCACGACTGGTCAGAACATCTTGGAACCATCGAATATGCACATCAAGGCCTAGTTCAAGCGTCAACGGGGCTAACACCATTTGAAGTGGATACGGGAAGAAAATTACGTAACCCAGCGCTGAACGAGATCGACGCACTAAACGAGTATGCAAAGAACTTCGCGGAACACCGCAAGGACCTCGTGTGCATGGCACTTGACAACCGCCAGAAAGCACAAGCTCGACAGAAATACTACTACGACAAGAAGCGATCGTTGGTAGAGTTCAAGGAAGGCGATTATGTTATGCTGGCGACGCGAAACATTCCATTGAAGCATGCTCAAGAAAAAAATGAGAATGAAAAGGCGAAGCTAGTGCCACGATTCATTGGACCGTTCAAGATACAAGAAGTTGTGAACGCCAATGCGATGCGGTTGAAGCTGCCACGAAGCATGAGCAAGGTTCACGATGTCTTCAATGTGGATAGCTTGAAGCATCATATTCAAAAGCCAGAACGATTTCAAGGAAGACCAATACCCAAAGCAACTCCTATCATTCTCGATGACGAGGGAAATGAACTGCACATCGTTGAAGCGCTGTTGAAGCAACGACAGTTCAATCGGAATTAAGAGTACTTGGTCAAGTGGCATGGTTTGCCCGAGCATGAAGCAACTTGGGAGCTTGAACGCAGTATCAAACATGTTTCCCATTTCAAACGATTGCTTGAAGTATCAAACATGTTTCCCATTTCAAACGATTGCTTGAAGACCTGCGTACAAGAATCGAAGCTGCCAAGTCGACAACCAGGGAAGAATGTAACGATGGCAAGGTTGCCGACCAAGAATACTTGTCGCATCGTTAACAAATCGAAGGCAAGACTTTCGAACAAGCTAAAGATTGTCGCACCATTAACGGTCAAGGCCGTTGAAGAAGCCGTAGAGAAAAACATTTACTTGATGTAGTTTAGAATAGTATACATTTTCGTAGAAGTACTACGTAGTAGTTTAAGACGACAATCTAATCACTTTCCAATTTACCCTGTGAAGCTTGCGTGCTACCGTTACAACCTCACAGCCCATGTCTTTCGGCTCAGTCCTTCCATGCAAACAGTGAAATTTGTGTGTGGGTTGCTTTTGCTTGTTGTTGTCGTGACTAGAGGTATGGAGCATGGTTGGCTACGAGAAGGCAATAACTATGAGAGGACTTCTTTGTGCCGGATGGCGTGACTCGACATTATCGGTGTATGAGGAGAGTGGTGGGTCGTGGAAGGGGCTCATGAGATTTTTCATGGGCCTTTTCCACGACACAAGCCCGATCATCTTGCGTCGCCAATGTCGGGCTACGTTTTTTGGCACGTCCATGACACAGAGATACAGGCGGCGACTGAATTTAAGGGACACCGAAGTACTAACGTTACACACAAATATTCCGCCAATCATATTTGAATAGCAATATATCGAGCAGCCATTGGATAAAACTATCATTTGGCGGGAAAACATTTTAAACACCCGCGATCTGACGATTTCATGGCACGAAGCCAGTCATTTTGCAATGCGCAACAAAATAAGCCCCCAAAAGAAGCCCAGACGACGCTACTCACATGCGACAAAGCGTGCAATGCTTTTGAAGATGCGGGACGCGTCGACACGGGAGCTCGAAGCCATGACTGGAATACCCAGAAGCAACTTGCCGCGATGGGTGCAGCAGGCCGACCTTTTCATGAGCTTTGACGGCAACAAAAAGCGTTTCAACTTGGGCAGGACGACCTGTCGAGCTGCCCTGCGAAGACAGCCTTGAGATCCTAATGCACAAGCTCCGCGACGCTGAACGCGCCGTCACATGTACGCACCTTATCAACTACCTCAAGCGACACCATAAGAAATGGCTTGCTGAGTACCACGCATCGCGACGAAGCGGATACAAGTCGCTTCTCAGGCTCCTTCAACGGTTCTGCGCTCAACACGAGTTCACCCGCCAGAAGCCTGCCAAGGCAATGAATTCACAAGTTGAGCTCGCAGCCACCCGATCTGCATTTGCATTGGATTTCCATAAGGCGTTCTGTGGGTACGGTGACGACGTCATCTTCAACGTAGACGAGACCGGCATACAATATGACATGCCACCGCAAGTCATTTGGTCTGTACATGGGACACCTGCCAAGATTTCAAGTGGTGAAAAGCACTCATACCGCATGACTGCCGTTCTTGGAGCTCGCGCGAACAGAGACAAGCTTCCTGTTCCATTTATCATGCGGGGAGAGCCAGGTGGTCTGATCGAGAGGAACGAGTTTGATTCGTTTCCTATCGGTCACTACTACGCCGTGCAAGACAGCGCTTGAATGGACGAGCGCGTTTGGGCCTTCTACCTACGCAACGTTTTGAAGCCTCGTGTACAAGAGCCGACGGTATTGTTGATGGACAATTTCGACCCTCACGTCAGCAAACAAGGCCTTCGAAGTGCCGGCTGTGTTGTTGCTGCGATCCCTCCGAATGCAACGAGTGTCGTTCAGCCACTAGATGTTGGAGTCATGGCTCCATTTAAACGGCACTTGCGCGACTTGTGGCTCGAAGAAGAGTTGATTGAAGGTGAGGATAGTGATGAAGATGTAAATCTTATGACTGTCACTGCGCAACAGTAGATCTTAAGACTGTTACTGCGCAACAAAAGCGCCTAGCTATGATTCTTCGTGCCATTAAGGCATGGGCGCATATTACGCCGGATGAAATTCGTGGTGGCTTCATTAACGCCATTCCAAACCATCAATAAATGTAGAAAATATTGAGTTAATTTTCACAATTTGGTTGATAAAAAATAAATGTGTCCTAAACAAAGAAAAAGTCAGACGCCCCCGGGAATCGAGCACGGGGCTCACTCTAGACACACAACGTATTTGACCACTGCGCTATTGTCTCAGACCGTTATCTTTCATAAGTCTTTTTTAAATCCAATCAATTTAAAATGTTGAAGTGCTTGAAACTCTTGAAGTCTGCGGTCGATACAACGATGAGTATATAAATGGTTTTGCCCCCTGCTCCATGGTTGGCTGCATTTTCCATCGAATTTCGAAGTAAGTTGACCAATCATATATCGATTTCATGAAAACTGGAAGTAGTAGGTGTCCCTTAAATTCTGTCGCCGCCTATAGTCCACATGTACCATGCTCCGTGGGCCTTGTCTTTAAGCACGACAGTCCTACCATCCCTCGACATTCCACCATGTACTCCTTCCATAGTCCTCGACTTCTAGTTTACATCTGGTATGGAGTTTAGACCATGGCAGGAGTTCTCTGTGGGACATAGATGTTGGATGAATTGTCCGCTCAGCAACCGATGGACCAAAGAAAATGGTTCACATGAACCACTTATCCGCTATGTTTGGTGGGTCGCTTGACGCTTGGTTGATGTGAGCCATTCAGTGGACCAAAGGTTGAAGGGATAACCCACCGATGCCCTCTTCTCACTTGCTGTTGATGTGTAAAAACTATTGTAGGTGCTTTAAGTAGTTGCAAAACCTATCTACATGTTATTTGCAAGCTTCAGTATATAACCCTCTATAGCTGGATGGTCAAGGATGTTGCATTCAGTTCGAAGGTGCGGATTTGAGCCCCGCGCAGGAATATATATATTATTTGATTGAACTTCCAACCAATGACATCTTTATGCTTGGCAGCACTGTCTTACACTGCATCGGGCACATTTGGAGCCATTTTGGCGTAACCCTTGTGAACTCAACAGTGCCATTGCTTTGCGCGGCGGCATAAAATTAGCCCCCTAGTTTCTATTTCAGGCATCGAAAGAGTTTCACGCTCACATTTCACTCATTCCCAACTTTACTGCGTCATTCACACGTACCAAACCAACAACACCCTGCAAAACACGTCATGGGAGGAGTTGTGTCTTTTGAAAACGCTGAGATCATTTACGTTGCCGAAGATGGCGCAATTGGGCTCACGGAGTCGTTCGCTGCCCGCTTCGAGAACGACATGCCATTTGACATCAAGCGCCCCGTGGTTACCCGCAAGCACGAAACTCTGATCAAGGAGAATTGGTCAGGTATCTACCAGGGCACTTCCGCGTTTGACGCGGTCAAGCACCTGACGCCGACCAAGTTCTTCTATCGGACGTTCTACAACATCTTGTTCGAGATGGCACCGTCGCTGCGTCCGATCTTTCGATCCAGCATGACCGTGCAAGGCAAGTCGTTGGCGGGGATTATCAAGACCCTAGCCACAGTCATCAACGGCGCCAACATCGTGAGGACATCCCAAGGGCTGGCCAAACGGCATCTCCAGTACGGTGCCAAGAAGGACCATTACACGGCGGTGGGCCAGATTTTGCTACAAACGCTGGAAATCGTGAGCGGAGACAAGTGGACTCCAGAGATTTCTACGGCGTACCTGACTGCGTACAGCTTGATCTACTTTGTGATGCTCCCCGTGATCCTAAACAACGAGCCGGTCGAGATCACAGAAAGCCTGCCCGCGACGATCTCCAAGTCGGAGACAATTTCAGCGACGGCCAAGCGACTCACGTTGACCTTTGACTTTAACTTGCGGTTCCATCCGGGCGATGCGATTCTTCTGGGGCTGCCTGTCGCCGAAGGGGGAGAAGTGAAGCGGCACTATACGATTGCCTCACTCAGTGTCGAAGGGACCAACACCATCGACATTGTCGTGGACGACGTGAGCGCGTCGTCGCACTGGCTCGTCACCCAAGCGACTGGAGCGACCGTCAAGTTGTACTGGATTGAGTCAAACGTCCGGTTTGAGATCGACTCGCCCGAATCCATTCCCTCAAATGTCGTGTTTGTGAGTCATGGGGTGGGGTGCGTGCCATTCCTGGTCATGCTGGAGGGACTGTATCGCATTCGAGAAACGTTCCACGGCAGCGCCGTGACGTTGCAAGTGGCCCCCAACCAAGCCGACGTGGACGCGTACACGTCTGCGGTGACCTCTACAGGAAAGCCCATCGAATGGGAATCCAGTTCCATCCACTATGCGCCAACTGTCTCGGCCGACAAGCTCAAAGACATTGCGCCAAATCTTGCGCATAGCGACTTGTACGTGTGCGGCCCTGCTGACTTCATCGCAACCACAGAAGAAGCGTTCGTGGCCACAGGGGGATCCAAGGATCGGATTCATGTGTATTCGTTCGACAATGCGCAGTTGGGGGCGCGGAAAATTCAATGAACGAGACTTAATTGGGGCTAATCTTATCCAAATGTTTTGCCCATAACGATAGATCACCAACTTTTCAACGAATATGTGATCAGATTCATGAAGTTCGAGTTGGTTTAGGGTGCGTCTGGTAACATTTCAAAAATAATATTCCATTTTCTCCAACATGGGATTAACCAAAGTGCCATTCTCAAAATGGAGGTAAAAGGTAAGGTCCATTTTGTAATGAGGCGTTTTGGACCTCTTCAACGAGTAAATTCCACGTGGAATTATTGGATTTGGGTTAACACTCTTCAAGCAAGACATGTTTCAATTTTGATCATATTCGTTGAATTCGGCCCCAAAATGGCGTTTTGAGCCCTGACAGTGAATACTGTACCATTTTTTCACGAAAACAGTAGTTGCACAGATAAGTCCTTTAGCCACCAGGGAAATTGAAGCACGGCACAAATGCATGGGGCTGCAGTAACTACCAG